GCTCTGTTTTATGCCACCTTGGCTGTACCTTGAAAAGGATAAGGGTGGAATCCAACCTCTCAGTCAGGGCACAGCCTGATGACGTCTTCTGGGAGATATGACCATGATTTCTTTAAGAGACCCTGTGGAGGAGAGCTCTTTCCCTCTTCTTCCTGCTGGCCTGAATCCTGTGTCTGACTTCCTGGGCTGACAGCCACCATGTGGCCTGCTGGCCCTGGGAGCTGTCTGTGGCCTGCCACGTTGCCTGTTGGCCTTGGATCCTCCCTACTCTGCCTCCACCTGTCTGTGGTCTTTCTGCGTCTTGGTCATGGCCCCAGCACTGTGTGAGCTGAGGAGGGCCTCCAGCTAGCATCTGACCCAGGGAGTTGAGTCAGGGGAGGTTTGCCTGCTCTCTGGCTGCGTGGGATGCTTCCGTGATTAAAAAGAAAAAATTATTTCTTGTGCGTATGTGAGTGTCACTAGTGTTGCCTCTTTAGAAAACCCAGCCTAATGTAGAGTCTTCCCTTTCCCTTGACTTTGAACTTTAGAAAGAATAATGTCCTTTTCCAGGGACTTTTCTGTCGTGATACTGTGTCCCCCACCCCCCCCCCCCAAATAGTAATAGTAACATTAGCAGATATGAACCACTTATTTTATTATTAAATGTACAGAACTTCTGAAATGAGAACTGTACTGATGGTTTTCATCAATGAGTTCGTTTAGTTCACAAACACATGCACACACTCCTTCCTCCCTCTGGATTAGCTATCTGTTTTTGTAGAGGACGTATGTGGACTCGAATAGACAAAATCGTTTTGTTAAATCTAAGTAGCCAATTATTTTCTACGGCTTTACATTATTACTGTTTAGGTTATTAAAAAGCACAGATGTCACTTTGAGGACTACAGTGATCCCCATTCAAGTCAAGGTGCATATGAAAAGTAGGCAATGAGTAGGGGAGACCGGAGAGGAATGGATGCACTTGATCATGGTCTGGGTGCCTCAGATTATACCATAACACGCAATGCCAGAACCAAGACCAAATCTGTCTCTCTCAAAAGAGTACATACAGACGTTCACTTGAAGGCCAAGCAGGGTTAGCGAGACGTCAACTGTGTGCTTCAGATGTGTTAGCAAGAGGCACAAGGTTAAGGGAAAACGAGGACGGTCCTGAATGAGATGGATGAACACAGTGGCTGTGACAGTGGGCTCAAATATGACAACAACTGTGGAGATGGCCGGGGCCCAGGTCGTGTTTTATTCTGTTGCACATAAGGTCGCTGTGAATCAGCACTGACTTGCTCTCATGTAACCACATCAGCAGCATGAGTCAGAAAGTACTTCCTAGTTTAGGTGTGGAAAGAACGGTATGCAGGCCTAGGTTAGAGAACTATCACTGTATGTTTAACTTTCTGTGCTCTGATTTTTACGGGATTAAATATGTAAATATTTGCTATTGTTATCTGTGTGTATTTAGAACAGTTCATTAAAAGTACAAGTTAAATATGTGAAGATTAAAACTGTAAAGGAAAGCACTTCTATTTGATCATTGAATTGCACATATTTTGGATTATTAGGATAAGTTTTCCCTCAGATTTATCACATAAACAGAAAGTGGCTTGTTCTGGGGATGGTTCACTGTTTCTTCTGTCTCTATAACTGCACTTTAGCAACATCTTTTCAAACAACACTTCAAAACCCACGGATGTTTCTCCAATGGTGCTCCTAGTTTGCCGCTTTCAATCTCCACTAACTTTTATTCACCAACTAGAAAATGTAGGAGTTACAAAATATTTCTATGCATCTAATTTTGAATTAATGCCATAAGCCTATAAGATATTCCATCCTTGTTTATGATCTCTTTAGCAGTCAGTTGGAAGAACAGAAGTACTTTTGTCAAATTGCTTCACCCTTTAGAGGACACAGAGATTCTGAAAAGACATCCCGGTGGCACCGTTGTTACAAATAGAGCTGCGGTCTGCAAGGTCCACAGTTCAAAACTGCCAGTAGCTCCGAGGGAGAACTACAGAGCTTCCGTAGAGAGTTACAATCTTGGAAACCCACAGAGGCAGTTCTACCCTGTCCTATAGGGTTGCCATGAGTCAGAATCGACTGGATGGCAGTGAGTTTGAATTTGAGTTTTGAGGTTCAGAAATATTATAATAATTCATGTATAATTACCCAAGATTGGTCTGTAGAGCATTGCTTTGGCACCACTTACATTACTCTCTTGGAATGCAGATATTTCAGACCCACTGCACGGCAGTCTCCAGAATATGGATCCAGCTAGGTTATGTAAGCTGTTTACTCCCTGAGCTGCTTACTATAACTTTGGTGGTTCAAGACCATCCAGGCATGACTGAAGAAACTCCTCGATCTGTGTCCAGAAAATTAGACTTTGAAAACGGTGTGCCGCACAGTGCTACTGTGACACTCACGGGGCCGCCAGGAGGCAGAATCAATGGGAGTAACCTTTGTGGTAAATAAGATCCACCTTCACTTAGAATGAATGGGCCTCTGTATTTCAGTCCTCCTCTGTTAAAACCTCATCAGCCTACAGAGTAGCATCTCGATGAGAAAGCATGATAGAAAGCATGCCCTGGTTTTGAAACACCGTTTATTTGAGGAGTCAGCAAATGGACCAATAGAGATTACCCGTTGAATTCCCTCCTCCTTGCATAGACCTGGATACTTATCAAACGTCTGGTCTCTGATGTCAGTTCTCTTGATTCAAAAACGGGAGGCCTAGTGATTTTAAACATGCTTCAGTGTCTGGCATTGTCTCAAGAAATGAGTTTTTCTACTTCATTACATTTTCCAGATAGGTGATTTTTAATGATTTAACCTTTCTGGAAGGAACATCGGCAGTCTCACGACTATTAGTGTACACTGAGCAGGAAGTGAATCAATACACAGAGACAACACACGCCTTGCTGTCTGCGTCGATGCTACAGCAGCACCGAGAGAACATCGCTTACTTTCCCCGGACGAGTGCACAGGGCGGCCTGCAGGTGCCGGACAGCTCACTTAAATGGAAGGTTTTCTGATGAAACAATTTACAGTTTTCATTAGTATTATAAATTTTAGAGACTATCAAAAAAGTAATACTTTGTTTGAAGAGCATACTATTTGTTGTGGTAAAAAATATTTATTATATTTCTTTAAAAGGATAAATTAGATTGAATTTAAATTTATATGGAAATTTGAATTTCACTTAAATAGCTGTTCCCCTAATTTAGCTTATCCATTTTAGAATCCAATCTTGTATTCTAGAAACACATTTGTAAATGGATAAAATGTGTGTATATGCATGGAAATTTGAAGTTCACTCAACCACCGTCTTATTAGGAGTCCCTAACTCTGAGGAGTCCAGAGCTTGTGCCTTGGCCTTGTGTTATTCCCTTACAAATGTGTTTGTAGAATGCATGCGTACTAAACATACAAACAAACAAAAAAGAATGCGTGCGGATGCCATACTGTGTGTGTCATTCTCCCTTACCCTAGGAGTCCCGTGCTTGTGCCTTGGGCTTGCGTTATCCCCTTACAAATGTGTTCGTAGAGTGCATGCAGACGGCCATACTGTGTGTGTCATTCAGCAGCTCCCTTTTTTCTCTTGATAGTTTGTATTGTTCCATATTGTTAGTATGAATCTAATTTATCTATTATGCATCATCATCTTACTATTTGCATCATCCCTCAATTTTAAACATTGTTTAGGCTGTTTGTTCTATGTTATTAGTATGAATGCAATTCGAGCAGGATTTTATGTTTCAGTCTTATTCTGTTACATAAATATATTCGTTTATCGATTCCACTGCTGGTTGGTATTCATGTATCCAGTTGTTTGCTACTAATGTGCTGCAGTGCACATGTTTTTAGCATCTATGGGAAGCCCTGGTGGCATAATGGTTATGTGTTGAACTGCCAACCACAAGGTTTGTAGTTTGAAACCACTAGCTGCTCACAAAGGCAAGGCTTCCTGCTCCCTTGAAGAGCTACATCCTCAGAAACCCGCAGGGCAGTTCTGCCTTGTCCTGTAGGGTCACTAGGAAGTGGAACTCAATGGCAATGGATGTGAGTCATGCATACATACACACATACATATATATATATATAACTCCTTTAAAAAGTATGGAGGTTTAACAAAATATCGAAATGTTCGTTCTTGTGGCTTGTATGAAAACCTGTCCTGTTATTCTTTGGACTTTTCACAGTACAGTGAACCCTCGCCACTTCGCGCTTCGACTTCCGCGGCTTCACTCTATCGCGGTTTTTGCATAACAGCGCATGCTCTGTCATTACTGCCACTGATTGGCTCATACTGTACACGCTTCTGTCTGCATCGCTACGTATCGGAGCTACGTATCAGATGCATTTTTGCTTTTGTACAGTGTACTGTAATTGTTTGCGATTTTTAAGAAATTTTATCTAAGCCCTATGATGGCTCCTAAACGAGCTACTTCTTCTAAGCCTTCTGACAATAAAAATAAGCGCCAGAGGAAGATGCTCACCATCCAGGAAAAGGTAAAACTTTTGGATATGATCAAAGATGGCAAGAAAATCGTGGAGGTTGCACGCCATTGATTACAGTATTTGTAAGAACTATGTATAATAAGACTGTATGTGAAATATGTAATACTGTAAACTAGATGCTATAAATAATATAATAAATAATAAATGATAATTGTAACGTCCAAAATGTTTTACTGTATTTTCCCTTTTTCATTTAATAAATTGGGTAATACGAGTGTAATGGTGACTAAAGGGTGTTTTTTCATGTCCTCTATGCTCTAACTACGAAAATATTTGATTTACAAATAAGGAATCCTACTTCGCGCAATTTCATTTATCACGGTAGGGTCTAGAACCGATTAACCACGATAAACAAGGGTTCACTGTAATTGAATTTTCTTTTCATTAAAATAGGTTTGTTTTAGTAAATGGAATCAGCATTGTCAATCAGTGTTTGTTGGCCATCCAGAGATGCAGTGGCTATAGACTTTCCTCGTTTCTCTGTGTAGGTGAATGTCACTCGTGAAGACTCACCAAGCGAAGACCCAGTTTTCCTTCGAACTTTAGGAAAAGGTGATTGGTTTGGAGAGAAAGCCTTGCAGGGGTAAGTGAACCATTTGCTACACAGTTTTGATTTGATTACCGCAAAAACTCTTATCTTCTTGATTGAGCTACTAATAAAATGGGGTATTTATCTAGTGGCTATTCGAGCATCAAACACAGATCTAATGAGTATTTCTATTTATTTCCAGTTAACTTTGTAATCTGCTTATAGGTTGCAAACCCATTTCATATCTGTAATCTATCACTGTTATAGTAATGGGAATTTTTCCAGCATTGTGTTCTTCAATACAAACTTTGTGAAGACTGTAGGAGAGATGGAAGAGTTTCTGCTGAGCTTGCTGTGGACACTCTTACTTGGAATTTCTTACCATCCCTAAATCTGATTGTACAAACACTCGGTCAGAAGGTAGGGAAGCCTTTCCAAGCTTCTCCTTGGAGTGGTGATTGTCATCCTGGGTGTGGTAGTGGAGGTAGAGAGATGGAGGTAATTCACTCCTTGCAGATTGACTATAGACAGGCTTAAAAGGTACTACTTCCTAGTAGAGCTGCGGCTCTCAACCTGTGGGTCATGGCCCCTTTGGGGGTCAAACGACCCTTTCACAGGTGTTACCCATTTCCTAACTGTTAGCAAAACAAGAATAATTTTATGTTGGGGTCACCACCACTTGAGGAACGGTATGAAAGGGTCGTGGCATTAGGAAGGTTGAGAACCACTGTAGTAGAGAGTCATGGTGACTGAAACTGTGCTTTTCCACTGAGACCTCAAGAAGCAGGCACTTGGCATATCTGCCCATGTGCGATGGAAAAACACTCTAAAGCATTTTACAGAATGTATGAAAAATAAACTTGGGTATTCTAATTCTGTTTCCAAATGAGCTACATATTTCGGATACCAATAAATATAGATGAGATGCTTCAAATTTCATTGGTGCAGATAAGATATTTTTATAAGAAATAACCAGTAAACATTTATTTCAGTATCCAATTCTAGGTCCAGAAGTGTCTCCTAGAGAGAAACAGTTATAAAGCATCATTTGTTCCTAAAATATTCAGAACTATTTTTGCTTCCATTTCAAATTATTGCTTCTTTCATTTTAAGAATTACCTTATAAGTGTATTGTTTAAAAGCATAGTAAAAAATAGTTTAAGGAATTTTTTAAAGCCAAAATCAGATGGAAAGTTCTTTTTTCATATTATTTAACAGCTACAGAAATAAAGAAATGTTGATGAATCATCTTACCAGGCCATATAGTCTTAAGGACATTCAACGCTAAATGCACTCAACTTTCTTTGTTTTTTGTGATTTGTATTTATTGAACATGTACTTAGCATTAGATTTTTCAAGTAGAAACATCAGAGAACTAGCATGTCTACAAGTAATACATTAAAAATGATCTCTTAGAATAAACTGCTTGAACTTACCCTCTGCACTTTTGTCTTTTTATCCCTTGAATATAAAATCTATAGCGGTTTCTATAGCATATATTTATTGAATATGTACTTAGCATTAGATTTTTCAAGTAGAAACATCAGAGAACTAGCATGTCTACAAGTGATACATTAAAAATGATCTCTTAGAATAAACTGCTTGAACTTACCCTCTGCACTTTTGTCTTTCTATCCCTTTAATATAAAATCTATAGCGGTTTCTAGAAAACACCACCACTCAGTTTCATTGCTTCAAGATGAAATGCCTCTTTTGGAATTAACGTTAATCCCCAGCATGGCAAAAGGACCAGAAACATTAACTATGATTCCTGAATGAAAGAACAGAAAAATACCATAGAATAAGGAATAGATAATTAGGAACCAAAAGATTTTCTTTGGGAGTTTATTGGCACTGTTTTTTGAGTCATTTGAAAACAAAACAAAACTATGTTGATGGTGAGAAACACCTTTGTATAACGTGTTCCAAGAAGTGACGTTGGAGATAGGGTTTATGAAAGGGTTGCTAAATTTTGTGGTGATGCCAAAATAATTGAGTGACATTCCATCGATTTTTAGCATATTTTTATGAATGGTCTGGTGACAAGACTCTTTTGCACAAAACTGAGCTCCACACGCTTTTAGAAAGCACATTTGGTTCTCCCATAAACTGAGAAACAAGTCATTTCTTTCCTTACTCCCCAACCAACCATTTCCCTGCCACAAGCTACACTCCCATTTTTTATGTCTTTTACTCTCTGTGAATAGCCAGCCCTTCTGTATCTGTCTATATTAAGTACACTTTTAAGGTATACCAAAGACTGGCTACTTATCCAGTAGAATTTTCATTCTACTCTGCCTTTGACATCATTACTGCTTACATTATCATTCTGAATTCACTATTGATCTCTCCCAGCCTGCTTCAAACTTCTTGTTCTTTGTGATCTTTGAAATTGTTAGCATTCTTTAGAATTCCTCTTTTCGTTTCACAAAATCCTCTTTTCATTTAATAAAATCACGGATGTTTTGTCTTCAACCCTCTCAAATAAGCAAAGATAAACTCTTCCAGATCTGTGACTCTATGTTACTTCCATGAAAAAAAGTCTCAAGTGTTTATACGCTGAGGTGAGCCCAGCATCTGGCACTTAGTCAATAGGATTTGTTGAATGGAAGAATGAAAAATGAATGAACAAACAAACCTCCCTAATGATGCTCAATTTTGTAATTCCATCTGACTCTGAATTACTTCCAACTATTGGAATTTGTTTAGCCAGGCGTCAGAGGTTGTGAGCTCAATGTACTATGGAGGGCTGATTTTAAATGTAAATCCCTCAAATACGGTGAATGAGGGCTATGTCAAACCGTAAAGCCTTATGTGACGATATAACTGGAAAGCTGAGTTGACAATATCTACTGAGCTCCAGGTCATTGCTAATCTGAAGAAATGAGGTCTGAGCCTTTTAAGAACAGCAGAAAAGCCTAAATTTTTAAAATGTGAGAACATAGGCAATTAATTTCACATTAAAAAAAAAAAACTGATGACAAACAAACTTTTCTGCAAATTGTTTTACTTGTGGGCTCTCATTTTGTGGTTTTTATCAATGGGTTAGGAGCCTGATTACATGGTAACTTAAGCACTAGCATAGTCATTGCAAGGTCAGTGGTTCAAGCCCACCAGCTGCTCCACAGGAGAAAGATGAGGCAGGCTACTCCAGTAAAGATTAGTCTCAGACCCCTATAAAGAAATTCGACTCTGTTTATTAGGGTCACTGAGTCAGAATTGACTTGGTGGCAGTGGGTAGGTATCAATTAGGTATTGCCTCTTGAAAGCTCTGTTTCTAGTTTCAAATGAAGCAAGCCTATTAGGCTACTCTGTCTCTATTAGTTCTTTGAACATTTTGATATTCTATATATGTGACTTATTTTCACACCGTGTCTCTGTGTTCTTTTGGATTTTTTGTTTTCTATGTTTTTAACAAGAAATTCCAACTTTTCACAAACAATCATTTGTTTCACTTCTCTCTCTCTAAGTTGCCTATACATTGATATAAATGGAGGATATAGTTTGTTAGACAACTCTGGGGGTGTGTATTTGGGTAAATATAACATATGTATTTGGCAATAGCAATACTTGTTTGTAGACAGTATGATATTTATACTTGGAAGAGAACATTGCAGTCAATACATCACACAGAATTCCAGATTGTGGTTTTCTCATAAACCAGTGTCCGTGTACTGGATAGTTTGTTTTATGCTCCTGAAGATATTCAGAATACTGCACACATTCTCCACCCACTTTCCCCTAACATTTGAGTGATCAGCAATAGCAAATAATAAAAATTCTAACTCGGAAATCCTACTGCGTTGGATCCCACTGTCATTTAGTAACCGTGTGACCCAGAGAGCCTTGTCTTTTTCCTATAATTGGGGTTATGAGTGGACCTCATTTACTGGGTTGTCATGAGGATTCACAGGGGGATACTTGGAAAACATTTGATCTGGTGCCTATAGAGCCGCCAGCACCATTATCTTAATCATCGCCACCACCTTGTCATCGTCCCCATCACCAAGGATGTTCACCTACATTTTTTAAAAAGTTTAGCACTCTTGGTAGAATCTCCATAGCATGAGATTTGAATGTAAAGCTTCCTGGTTATATAACCACTCTCGGTCTCCTCTCTTCCTAAGCAAGTTGAACTAAATGATCTCTGAAGTTCTCGGAAGATGTAGCCTGTCCTCCTCTGAGATTTGACCTCTTTCCAACTGGAGCGGGGCCCTGGAGATCAAGGATGTCAAATGCAGCCCAGAGGCTTCCTGTTAAATGTTGGAATTTAATAGCCAACCACTGTCAGTCCTGCCTTTCCCTGTAAGAACTCTCTCCACTGTTGTCTTTCATTCAGATCCCCGATGCCACATGTCAGGCTCTGTCCTCTTTAATGTAAAAGTGAATAGCAGAGTCCGTTTAATAGACTTTGTTATGGACTGCAGTGTAGAATTGTCCAGCAATAAGATAAGCAGAGGCTTGTGTGTGCTCACTTATGAGCAAGTTCAGATGATTTTGACTTGCAATTCATCTTGGATGTGGTGAAAACTGTGTGAACCTATTCACTACAAATTAGTAAGCACAAATAAGCCTGTGCTTGCCTTGCTTACTGGGTGCTCTGTCCCCTATACAGAGACTGTAAATTTGAAAAGCGGCTTTAATTCTGTGGGAAAGGGCTGGGAGAGTAACAGACGCCACCCATAGCTAGAAGCAGAATCCTTGATGTGGTGCTAAAATGTGAAATGGTTCACTATGCATTAGTAAGTAAACACAAGCAAGCCTATGCTTTTACTTGTTGAGTGTGTTTGTCTGGGTACATTACAGAAACAAATCCACAGAAACTCATATGTATCAGAGAGAGTTTTATATAAAGGGTAAGTGTACATTAAGAAAGCATCCCAAGCCAGTGTTACCCAAGCCCATAAGTCCAAAATCAGCCCATATGTCCAACAGCAATCCACAAAACCCTCCTCCATCTCACAAAACACATGCAGTGACGCAGACTGCAGAAGGAAAGCCGAATCAGTGAACGTGTAAGCATCTCAGCGCTGGCAGGGGTCTCCACACAGCTG